CATCATTAATCAATGAGCTCCTAAAATTGACCAACAACCTCCAAAGAAAAAGAAGAAGTCACCACAATCTCCTACTGAACTATAAAGATCTCGGCTCTAGTACCGTCTGTATTCAAAACCAACTGGCCTCAAATCTCCACCACCTTCTATGTGTCCCATTTGATTGTGTGTTATTGGACTTCTCTCTGTTTTCAGCATAGTCTCACCTGCACAGCTGATTTGGTCCTGGAGCGGCTCACCCAGAGGGTGTCGGCACTGACAGCTGGCTCTGAGCTGGAGTCAGCCCAAGCTCCAGACATTGAGGAGAAGGATGTTCCAGCTAAGAACCAAGAGTGTGCAGCTCACACACCATCAGAATAAGCAGAACACAGCAATTATTTCCATGTGTATAGTCTCAGTGGTTCAGACTGAAGTATGTGCCTTGTATTGTCAGCTGTGCATATGTGTGTGAAAAGTTAAACTCAGCTGTGAGGACAGACACTCGGGGAAATCACAAACCCCTTTCACAATGGTGAAACTCTGCTTATTGGTTTCATAGTGGATTCAAGAAGAATTCAAATCAAACCAAATGAATAGAGTTCACTGTAAATGTATGTAATGATATATTACAGCGCTGTAGATAGTGTACAGTAGTTTGCTGATAATAAAGGACACATTTGGATCCATAGCCTTTTTGTTTGGTATTTATCTTGTGTACTAATATTTGATTTAGTATTTAATTCCAGACTGTCTAAACAGATGCCGTTGAAGTTGGGTCATTTCACTCTGAGACTGGAGACCTGTAGTTTAGCATAGTGACACGTGTTACTTAAAGCATCTAGAATCATATAATACTGCCCTTGTAAGAAGTGAACTGGTTAACACCTGCACATGTGTATTTTTATAAGGATGCAAAGAACAGTCCACACTGGAACACCCTCTGTTCTTCAGGCCCTGAGACAGCACATCCAAACTGAAATAAAAATAATGCTTTGTGGCAATTGACCATGTCACGGGGCTCTCCCACACACAGCCAGAGACAGTTCTGTTGCTTTGCAGCGTACTTTATTAAATCAAACAGTAAGCGTAAATTCAAACTTAGACTCTCCATGAGCTTCGCCTCGTCTGTGTGTCTCTGTCCTCTTGTGTGTCCTCTTGAGGCTGCTCAGCTGCTGCCTTTTAAACCTGAGACCAATCATCTAACAGCACTCAGCTGCACTGAATGATCCTCTGTGGTGCAGGTGCTCTCCCGGCTGCCTCACCTCCACATGCTAACTTCATTAATGTAAGTCTGAGCTTTAATTAGAGAAGGTTTACATTAGTATCCTATCCTTCGCACTACTATAAATGGAGAGTGGTTTGTGTATTTGTTGTCATGTCAGGCTACTCCTCAAAACCCACTAACCATTCCCCTCTGAACTTTCCCCAAAAAGATTCAGGGGATTTGCATTTGCATATGATCTTTATCATCTATGCTTCTTGTCATTTCATTTTCTATTTTAAAATCCAATCTGAAACATTTGCACGAAATTTGAAGAAATTCCTTCAAGGTGTTCCTTAGGTTCACAAGTGAAAAAAGGGGTTGGGTTAGTCGGGAGTCAATGGAAGAATGGCAGAGGTGTGGTATGAACTGAGGAGGTACGAGACTGCAGTTTATAAGGCACGGAACTGATCACCCAAGCGAGGAAGAGCCAGATGTTTGACACCTCTGCTGTTTCAGTGATATCTTGCAGCCCTTAAACTATCCTATCTGCTGACAAGACTGGTTTGAGTAGGAAAAGGTGCATTTTCCTCTAACAGTCACTGTTGCAGTCGAATGTCAAGTCTACAGAAGATTATAGAAAAACAGAGGAGCTTCTCTGCTGTTCATGAAATCCTGCATGATGTTTATTCTGTCACAGTTATGTATTTTCTGTGTTCCTCTCATGTTCCCCTCTGCCTTCCTCTGTGCTCCACCCTGTGCTTCTCCTGTGTTGTTCTCTGTGTCCCTCTCCTGTGTTCCCCTCCTTGTCCCTCGCTATGTTTCACCCTGTGCCTCTCCTGTGTTCATCCCTGTCTTGGTTATTGTATTTTGTTCTCGTTGATAAGTTTGTTCAGTGCTTCCTGTTTTATTTTGTAGTCCTTGCTCCCTGTGTGTTTTCATCTATTGACTTCCTGCCCTCATCAGGTTCACCTGTTTGTCTTGTGCCACCTGTCCCCAGTTACTCATTAGTTCCAGTGTGTATTTAAGTCTTGGTGTTCCCCCCATGTGGTCGTTGGTTCGTCATCGTCATTTCTGGTCAGGTCCTGTCCGTCATCTCGATTCTGGTCCTGTTCATGTGTCCCGTCAGCTCTCGTCACGTTTCCCCGTAAGTTTGTTTCCTGCCCTTTCTGTGTTCCACTCCTCTTTTTGAGTGCGACTTTTGTTTCCTGAAGATTTCTTGTGTTACGTTTACCCCCTGTTAAATAAAATACACTTTTTGTTAAACCTTATTTAGTTTCTGCGTTTTGGTCCTTCCCTTCCCTTTTCCCTACCGAGTCCGTTCCCTGTCCCCCTTCTCACGTCACCCCCCCCTCTCGAACCCTGACAGTACAAACCAACCACTGTCAGGGCTGTGGCCTTCTCCAGATGCAGGACATTGGGAGGAGCACACTCAGCCACTCAGACACTGTATCCTGGTAGTTTAGGAGTCTCTTGATAAAGCTGTGCATAATACTTACATTCAATATGTTTGATTTTAAAAGCTCCCAGATGAGCCTTAGTGCTGACCAATAGATGTGAGGGTTTGGCCTCATCCAGTTGCCTCTTCAGTTGATCAGACCTGTCTCCTCTTCTCAGAAACACCATATCTGACGAATCTTTTTTTTTTTTTTTTGACGAGGAGGGTCCTGATGCTGGCAGTTTTGTTGAGTCAGCTGATGATGGGACTTGGATCTAAAGAGTAGGAAAACATGAAGAAACCTTATTCAGCTCACATTCTCTGAAAACATTGTGACATTTCTATTCAAAGAAATGCTTTTTAGGATTCACACTGTGACTGCACTTAACAGTGATCAGTGTGCTAATTGTAGTTAGTTTGGAAACTCAAAATGAACTCATAACTTCAGCAAATCAAAGGCAGAACATGCTAACATTGGTAAGTGATAATAAAAAAAGATAAAATTAGCCTCCCGTCAAAGGCTCACTACGTGGTGATGATGAGAGGCAGCTGTGTCAATGCATCGTTTCAATGCACCTTCAAATGTTGCGGGAACAGCTGATGAGCCCCTCGTTCTTGAGTTGCTCGTCTTTCAGCAGCCTCGCTCTGTTTTGGCTCTGTCTTCTCCTCAGTCCTCTAAGTGGTTGAAAAGCTCTAGGTCACATTCAGCTCTCTCTGCAGGTTGTGGAAGTCTCTAAAAATACTAATAAATGAAGACAGACGTATTAAAGTTCCTCAAACGGTCTTTAAATTTGACTCTGACCACTCAGAGATGATGGCACAAACAAAGCCAAAGCCATTTTCACTCCTTTTTAAGTTTTAGAAGCTGTTGTTACAAGTAGAACGAACTGTTGGGTTAGGGTTAGTTTTAACACATTGTGCCCAATTATAGGAGTTCAGATGTTGTTAATATTTAATGTAAAATCGTTAGCAGTCAGTGACTATGTGCTCTTGCTTGTTGTGGCGTCTCTCTGTCTTCAGTCTTCTCTTCAGCAGGTGGACTGCAGCTCAATCAGATCAGGTGACTCAGCCTGTTCCACCTCTTCATCCTGCAAAGATCGGTGGTTTCTTTTGGGGATCAGTGTCCTGCTGAGTGATGAAATGTCAGATGGAATGAGACTGGATGCGTTTTTCCTCATTGTGAGCAAACCATTGTTTTCTTCTAAGAGCCTCATTATTATTTTCACCTCTTCACTTCTCAGACATCTACTGCTCAATATAAATGACAGCTCTGACGTCTCAGTGAGCTCGGAGTCACTTGCGAACTCCTGCAGGAAATGCATGAAATACTCTGAGGACACTCGGGTTCCCTAGAAACACTTATTTGCCAAGTGTCCAATTACTTTTGGACCCCTTAAATGGGCAATGCATTCTGTATGTTCTCCATTTCCTCTGTCAAATGTCTACATAAATTCCTGTCACGTGTTCTGAAAGCCCAGGTTAACATGTTCAGATATTTTTATTTTTCTGTCTGACCAAAAATAGCAAATTTACAATGATATTAAACTATTAAATTGACAATCCTGTCTATTAAAAACAGTCACTGAGTTTTGATGAAGTAGATTTTAAGACTTGAGAGGAGAAATGTGATATTTACAGACCCTATTCATAGACTCTATTACATAATCATAAAGCCCCCCCCCCCACCCCCCAAGTATCACTATTATTGTTTGCATTATAAAACCCAGTACGACTGAGCTTCAATAAAAAAGCTAATAAAAATATCTTCTGAACTTCTCTCCCCTTTTTCCACTCACTCCTCCTCTCCCTTATTTTCTCCTCTCACCCCTACCGGTCGAGGCAGATGGTCGCCCACATAGCCTCTAGAGTTTTTTTTTTTTTTTTTWCTCTGCACAGTGGCCCAAGTGTTTGCCATAATAATATTATAAGGTCTCCACCTGACTATGTAAAGTTCCCTGAGATGCACAAATAAAATAGACTTGAACTGAATTAAAGCCATTTGACCTGAGTTGCTCTGTTGTGAGACTCAGGAGAAGAAACACCAACAAACAAATAAACCAACAAAAAGTAGCGTCAGAGCCACTGAGGCGAGCTATAGACGGGTTCAGGTATTTGTACTTTGACGGTGAAATGAATCCAGGATGTGTGTTCGAGCGCGGGGCGCGTGTTTTGGCCGGTCAGTGGCACTGTGGTCCTCTCTTTCTCATAGGCTCCGTGTTGCATTACAAAGGCAACAATAACAACAGCTGCACTTATCACACTGAGCACTTCACAAAGAAACACTCACAAAGAAAAGAAAGAGAGATGTTTCTCCTGCTCCTCGCTCCCTCACTCCGTCCGGCCCCGTGAAGCTGTTGCACTTGTTCCGGGCTCCTCGGTTTGTCGGTCCGTTGTGCAGCTTTATTTTCACGCGCTGGGTTGTTGCTCGGTGTCGATTTTGCGCGTCAACAATAAGAAGCACGCTGCTGGAGCGACGCGTTTGAAATGAGCGCATTTCACTCAATGGGATTTTATATTTAGCTCGGTGAGGGACGCGCTGGAGGAGCAGCGGGGCAGCGGGGAGAGGAGACCCCCCGATCCCACTGGTGTCCAACATTTTGAGCCTTTTCTCTGCGTCTGCAGACCCCAAAACTTGGCGTTCATACCGCGCTGTGCGTTATCAGGGTGTGTGTGTGTGTGTGCGCGCGCGCGTGTGTGTGTGCGAGAGAAAAGGGGGGAATAGCGCAAATTTATCTCCAGCTCCAAAAAGGGGAGAAAGATGATGATGATGGCCGGTGGCGGCGGAGCAGCGGTGGACCACAACGGGATTTACTCCGACCTCCACAGCCTCCAGCAACCCCTCATGGAGCCCGATAACCCGGACTCCCGCAAACGACCGCTGGAAACTCCGGCGGAGGAGGCCGGCTGCACCAAGCGGACCAACACCGGAGGTAAGAGACGCACACAGCAGCCAGTGTTTTGCTGTGGAAGCCTTTACACGCAGCTCCATGCGAAGGAGCCACTCACAGCGTATAGAAGCAGACCTGGGCCGCAGTATCATGCAGCTCCTGTGCACTTTGAAACCCTGACTTGTGTTTGTGACTTCATACTCAGCTACAACCCCCAGCAGGGTGAGCAGACAGCCCGACTGAGCCTATGTGAACTCCTCAGCTCAGGTCAGCCTTCTACATGAACCTGATCACCTCCTGCTGCACATCTGGAGCTCTGCTGGGAAGACTTTGATTCAGTCTGATTTGTATATAGAGGCTTTCTTTTTTATAAACGAGAGGTGTTTATACTCACCCTCAGTTTATCAGTACTGTGGTTGTCCTCATACACACAGGGATCCCCTGATACTGTCTTGTGCAGAGGCCACACTAGAAGTCAAGTCAAACATCTTGCCCTGCTCCTCTTTGACTCCTGGATCCTTGAGAGCGGGATCCGCTCCCCGAACAAATACATCTCCCACTGAAATATGAACCTTGGCTTTATGATACATTAATAGCCCAGAGGACAGTTGCTCTTCAATCTAAAAGAGAATTGGCCTCAGTGTTGATTTGTGAACAATGACAAGTAACAGCAGGGGCTCATGTGGTCATTTGAGATGAGATGTATCAGGGATTTTAGTAGATTTATTATGAGTTATCCGGGAGACTTTAGAGGGATATTCTTTCTGCTTCAGGGTTGAAAAAATGCTGATTTAGAGCTGGTAAATGAACAATGTCAGGATCTAAATGTGCATTTGAAGTACAGTTTGAGGAAGAAAACCAACAGGTGAAACTCATTCAACCCTGAACAACTAGCAGGGTACACACGCCACAGCACTTGCAGCCTAGATCCCTATCAAACACAGGTTATTTATAGGTTGTGGGATGATCCAAATCTCTGCATCTGTTTTGTATTTTTGTTACCCCCGTACTGATGTTTGACTTACCAGCTTTTAGAAAGCCTCCACTGTAGCAAAATGCAAAAGACAAAATTTGGATTCTGAAATGCTAGAATGCTTATTAAAAACATGTTGGAGCTCCACATGCAGAGCTGGGCAGTGTATCTGGTGTCAAATTAAGATTTTTTTATGGGGGGGAGCAGTTGGTTTCATCCCTCCCCACATGAAAAATTTAAATTAAATGCTATTAACAGATTAGAAAATTAAACAGAATATCAGGGAATGTTGAGAACTACTTGGTGGGTGTGGAAGGAGGGAACTACAGAAACACTGCAGCACCATTTTAGCAAATTGCCTCTGGTTTCATTTTGTGGAGGAGAAATGATGGTGGCAAATAGAGAAACAATGAGGTGTGTGCACACTTGCTTTATTAGTCATCGGTAAGATGTCGGTGAGGATGACGGCCGATTCAATATGCCAGTACTGTTAAGTCTTATTTCAGCTTGTGACTGTTATGGCGTGCACAGCTCACAGGGACCACTTATTTAACAACTTAATGTTAATTAGACGTCCACAGAGAGAAGCCAGTTTCTCACCATATGTTGCAGAAATTTGTCTCTGTGTCTCCCACCCACCCACACGCTGCCATTCTGTGACAGCACCATTATATCCTGTTTCGAAAAGCACAAGTGCATCTTTGCCACACCTCACTGCACCTCAGAATTGTTATTTCAGCAGGACACATAAAGACCCTTGTGCCAGCAGACAGTATTTTAGAGCAGATCCAGCCTCCATATGTCTACCGTTAGTGCTCCAAAAAGCACTGTACAGAAAAGTCACATGGTGTTCTTCCCATCCAATATCAGGGTGATATGAATGGCTAGATAGTGTGAAATTGCATTTGGAAAATCGTAACAGAAAATTCAAAAAACTCGTGATTCACACAGACAGTTTCCACTTTTTATTGCTGTCATTTCTATAATGTTATCACACATCATTTTATCAGCCTGATTCCATCTTCTTTGAAGACATCGCTGCATCACTGACTGCAAGGCTTTTATAATCAGGAGGTTCATTGTCCCAATGAAAAATAAATATGTCAACTAATAGCTAACTTCCAAGAGGCTTATTTTTTTATATTCAGGCATATTCATGTTGAAAATAATAATGAGGTGCAGTATATAATATATAATACACGTTTTGTCACCACACTCGTCTTGAATATGTGTCAGGAAATGTCAGGAATTGATTGAACTGGACATCAACGGCATAATTAGTTTGGTAAGGCCTCAGTTTATTATTTGTAATTCTGACCTGACGGTGTCAAAAATGAATAAAACTGCTGCCTTATTTCCCTTTAAAATCTGATAGTGACACACTTCCATGTCCATGGTAACTGGTGCTTGCTAAACCTGTTTGAAAAGCACAGGTTATATATGTTTTAGTATTGTGTAAAAAATGTGTGATTTTCACATGTACATCGCTAGACCTGATAGGTTACACACATTGTTACACGTATCATGTGATGATAGTCTTGGAGCTTTACATTGCTCTTTAAACATATTTAAGGCATTATTGACATTTCAATTGTACAAATTAGCTCAGAATTCTCTCGAAAGTGTTATCATATGCAGTAGCTCACCAAGATTAGATTTATGGAGTGAAATAGCAGCCAATCCACTGCTCACATGATAAGTATCTAAAAGGGTGACTCTCTGGCCCATAGACTGAGCTCAGGAACATAGACGCCATGTTAATATTCACATGAAATGCACATTAAGATCATTCGTAATGACGCCTACACAAAACAGATGTTTCATAAATATCTCGTCATCCAGGGCTTTATGTAATGTGTGTTAGCATCACCTCCTATTTCATGTGATCCTTATTTATTATATGTAACAGTGCAGACCCACAGCCTGTCTGCTAGCAGTGGTAGACAGCCTGATAATCCTTAGCTGTCCCTGTAATCACCAACCCCTTGACTACAACTGATATTGATCACGTTATTCCTACGGAACTGATCATTAACATGACTGGCAGTAACAACAAAGAGAAGAAAGTGCATGCTCTTTCAGAGCTGAGCCCCTCATTATGCATTAAGAGCTGTGGACACTGAATGAGGGAAATTACTCTTCTTTTATCAGCATTGCCCCTCTCGCCTAAGAGTGAGCATCTTTCATTCATTTCTCTGTCTAATTACCCATACTCTGAGCCCATGTTGCTGGCAAGCATGCACCTTCCAAAAGGTTGTGTAGCTGAGGGATTAGGTATGATCTCGTAATGTAGCTAATGGAAAGGTTGGCACAGGAATGTGAGCTGTATTTTATTTTTTTAATTTTTGGTGGGAAGGACACAGGTGCCCTTGCAGAGTGATGTGACGTGAGCGGACTGTGAATTTGCCAGGTGGCAGTGAAAGAGAGAATGAGAAGAATGGAGAGAAAAGGAGAGATGGATAGACCGCGAGAGGGAGTGGAGTCTACAGGGAGGCTGTGTCTATATTCCAGAGCATCTCTCAGTGAATGAGACCGGTAGAATTTTCTGGAAGGCATTCGCTACTAAACAAAATGGGCCACAGTGTTAGGGTTTGATTTGTGGATGAAAGCAGTAAGCAGCCAGGAAAAAAAAGGAGTTCCTTTTTTACAGGTTCCCTGGAAGGCACTGTTTGATGAATTTGAACCCCCACCACCGTGTCCATGCACAGACAGTAACACACATGCACATTGCAGTTTTTACACACTTAAGATACCGCTCGGCGTAAGATTTATAGGCGTAGTGATTGGCTTCATCACCCCCCCTCCACCATTCTGCGGCACTGCCATTTGCAATGGTTGATGAGCCCCTCCGCCCTCTCAAACATGGCCGTCTAAGGGATTGGGGGTGGGGGAAAAGAGGAAAGGAGGGTGGGTGGCGTAAGGCACGCTGTCTCAGATCACTCCTCCTCCACCTCCTTCATCATCTGCTTATGTTATCCATACACCTCTTCAGCCACTGTTGAAGGTCACTCTACATGCTTCCCCATTCAACGCTGAAGCCCGCTCACTCAGCCACTTTACCTTTGTCACTTTCCACTAAAAAAAGCGAGTGAATGGACTGCCATACTTTATAGTGCTGCGTCAAAAGAGGCGGAGTAGAGGAGAAAATTCAATTTTTTTGGGACCGGCATCGGGAGGTGGGGACATGACGTGCTGGAGGGAGGAGGCCACCCATTGGCCGAGCGACGTGTCAGTCCTGCGTGCTGCTGCAGACGGACAGGCCACTCGATGAATATGGATGAGAGCAGTGAAAAGGGTGATGCGGCAGGGAAGACCCCCCCCTTCAAACCGATGCAGGCTTGAACAATGCGTGCCGTCTTTCACTGAAAACACTGAGAGCCTGCATTAGCATTTTCTCAGACAATTGAGGCTCTGGCCAGCTGCAGGCATGGCTCGGATGCTGCGGTGAAATCTCTTTTTCTGCACCCACTGATGAATTAAACCTCGGTGAAAAAGGTCGACTGGCCGCATTCCTCAACACTACCATTGCACCTATGCCTAGGCTAATGTTAAGATCCCCTTTAGAGATTGTGTCCCGGCATTGATGGCGATCTGACAGAGGACTTGAGAAGCAGCAGATCTCAGAATGGGTAAGCCTCGAACTCTTTTTGTCTGACTTGTTGAATTTGTCCATCATGTTAGACTACATGCAGTTTCATACACCTCGAGCTCATTTGTCCATTATTGCTCATTTTTGTACCACCGTCCTTGCTGTCTGTAAGCGGCAGGTTGGTCCATTGACATGCAGAATGGATATTTGGAAGGGTAGTAAGAAGGAGGGAGGACGGTCACAAGGCATTTCCTCCTGACCCACCCCCCTTGAGTGACTTAACTAAACACATTTGGCTCAGCGTCTGTGTCTCTCCTCCGAGCCATCCTTCCAGTATTGGAAGCAGGGGTTTGAACTAACACCCCACTGGCTCAGCTTCCCAATGTGCCCCACTGCTCCCGTTCCCTGGCGGACTGCAGCAACAGATTGCCATGTTTACTCTACCACATGACGCCATTAAAACCTGTTACTGTGATCTCAGACACTAGGACAGAATTAATTATTGAGTAATGACAGCAAACGTGGCTGTGAGGGTGATGGAGGGGTTCTTAGTGGCTTCCTCCCCTGGTGGCTTTACTCTCGTTGAAGATGAGCAGAAAGTTACGCAGTGGGTTTGGGCTTGTCTGTCAACAACAGGTCTTTGGATGTTTGGATCCTGCAATCAGTATCATTCAAATTAAATTCTTTGTGTGGCTACGGCATCAGATATCTTGTGATAGGAGGGAGGGCTCAAAAGCTTTATGGCGACCATGTCAGTCATGCATGATCTTTATTTTTTCACCAAGGTCATTTTATTGTTATTCGTTTTGAGAAAAAACATAGAGCTGTCTGCAATATAGTATGAAAATGCAAAGATTGAACAATGGCCAGAGATAATTAGAGCTGCTCATGTGATGCCCATGTTAAGGTTTATCTCGTATTTCTATTGTTAGGACAATCACAGAAAAATCGACCAGCACCTGACGTACAGTATATACTAGCTTTCAATTGGGGGAGTAAATTTTGTGCTGTCACGTAAATGTGGATTTAATAAGGTCTGGGATTTGGGATTTTCTCCACAACCATGGCTAATTATTCAAAATGAAAAGGGGATTCTGTTAACAATTATGTCATTGTCTGAATATTTGTCAGAACCATTGGTTATGGGTGATGTGCACGAAAACAAGCCTGTGTCTGAATGGAACATGAGGGGCATATTAATGCAATAAGGAGAGGAGCTAACTTGTAGGCTGTGAAATTCCTTATGTCACAGTGTCATGTTAATTCACATCTGAATCTAATGAGTGCATTATAGAGGCAACAGGTCTGTTTGAATGCAGGGTGGTACGCCTCCATCCATCCATCTTTCCTCCCCACCATGCCGGTCAAGCCCCAACATTCGACACCCTCCACAACCCACAGGAGGCAGCGACATGGTGACAGACCTTGTGGCCCACAATTGGAAATCGGAGGGATTTATTACTTGGAAATGCACGAGAAATCTCGTCATACAAAGGTGGACAGTTCCTTTTTGCATCTCTGCCCGCTTCAGTGGCGTCACCCTTGAGGCAGCTGAAAAGAATCGAACATGACGTCATTGCATCGAAATCAGCATGCAGAGGAGATTATTTGTATCTGCGTTAGTGTAGTTAGTAAGCACCTGTACCAAGTGTTTACCATGATGTCATCGATATGATATTTGAATGCACAGGGGATTCACGGACGCTCCACATCCATAAATGTAATATTTGTAAATGATGTCTTGTTGTCAGGTTCTGATTATATTTGGGTCTAAGCTCAATATGTGGTTGATTGCGTTTTAATAGATTAGTGCACTTAACGTGTTCGGGGTTTTCCTGGACAGACACTTCACCCACTTTGGTGCTGATTAATTCTTAATTAGAAACTGTTGGAAATGAGAACTTTCCCTATTGAAAGGGTAAAGCATGAAAGCTATAAATTCTTCAGACTGATGTGCTGTCAATCATGGAATTCTACAAGCCACTCTAAGCCACAGAAGCCCCCTTCCAAAATGGAGGAGATTTAGACCCTTTTGGCAGTATACCCTATGAACAAATCTGTGGGATTGGTTCCCATATGTTCTTCTCACGTCTGTTAATTGCAACGGATCCCTTTGGATTGGCATTAATAAACTGCATGGATAAAGACTTCATGTGTTTGCTTTTAGTCCTCTGTTACTTTGTCTTCCAGGAGAAACAGGATAGATTTTACATTCAGACTTAGGTGTTAATTCTACATTCCCTGTATTCATGTGTGAACAGTGATAAGTAACACTGGACTTGGCTATGTATTTAGCCAGAGGTTGCTAAAACTCCTTGAAAACAGTTAAAATTAGACCTCTGCAAACTAGAAAGGAGGTCATCATTTACTCCATAAGAAATCTGGGACAGGACACAGAACATGTCACCAATCTCCAATAAAATGTGGATGTGCTGAAAACTATAAAAGAATTCAAAGGGTAAAATCTGTTTCAGGTGCCTTCCCAGAATAATTCAGACACATGATAATGTCATTTGTATTTCCCCCATATCATATATATGTCAAAGCTGTGTGCTCCCATTGTGAGTTTTTGCTTGTTCAGGGTTTTGGGGGTTGGGTACTAGTATGGTGTATGTAATACTGTACAGAGCTACTTTACGTGATGTGACCCTATCCCACTTTGTGTGTCTCCCCCCCAGAGGAGGGCGAGTACTTCCTGAAGGTGCTGATCCCCAGCTATGCAGCCGGCTCTATAATTGGCAAGGGCGGCCAGACCATCGTACAACTGCAGAAAGAGACGGGTGCCACCATTAAGCTGTCCAAATCCAAAGACTTCTACCCAGGTAAGAATGAACAGACATTAGTTAAAATCAATCTATCAGTCTATAAATATATGACACCCAGCTGAAAGAATGATGGTTTGGTCTAAGAGAGCTCTTCATTTGGCTTTCCATAAATAGCTGCAAAATAATTTAACAACACACCAATCATAAACACTTTGAACGTGATTATCCTTGTGTCCTTGAAGGACTAAACATGCATGCAGATGTTACTGCTGTTAGATGCTGCATTCAAGTCTGCAGGCATTTTCAGTTTCAATTAAATTGCCTCTCAGCAGGTTGCACCCTTCAGTGCAGGGTAGCTCTTTTTGCAGTGTTCATGGTTCCATGTCATTGCAAAACAAGAAATGGCTCTCTTTTCTCGAGTAAAGTCTGAAGAATTGTGCAGTGCTGACATTTTATCCCCATCAAAATCAATTGTGTCATGCAGAAGACATGTAGCCTACATCAGTAGCATTAACCAACCTGGAGAGTTTCAGTCAAAAATGTCAACAGGAGAACGATGCTCGAGCAGCTCGGTGACCCCTATCACATGGAGGTCAAAGCTGAGCCATCTTATCCTCCAAACACAAATGCCTGAGTTGTAGAGGAGTCTGGGTGTTTGTCCTTCATGCCTCAGTGGATTCTTCCACCCGGTGAAAAATAACAGGTGCTGAGCATCTCGCTGCTTATTAGGTCCAGATGTTTTTTGTGATAACACATGCCAGAAAATAATCCCTTCGTAGTAGTAGTATACTTTTTACTGTCTGCCTGATTTCATGTCTTGGTTTTCCATCATAATGGCTACAGTGATTATTGGACATGTCCTCTGCGGTTACAGTTGAAGAAGAGTCATTAGTTTACTTTAATGTAGAAAGCAACATGTCTCACTACAGACAGAAAAACAGCATATCATGTTTGATTTTGACCCGTCCAGTTGGGAGTTACAGCTGATATATAAGACAGACTAAGCCGTGGTGTTACAGAGTTACTGAGCACTGGGGGAGAGGAAGAAAAGGATTTGCTTGCAAAAATTTTTCCGTACCTTTTTCTTCCACCATGTTTCCTATAGCTGCGATGAAATGACGCCTACTCAGAGGGCTTTGATCGAAATTCTTCACATGCTAGCCCGGCTACGTTTGAGGGAGGGAATATGGCTACTTCACTGGCATCAGAACAAATGATAGCAGTGACGGGTATCTTTACTTCTCTCTTTGGATTGCAGATGCGTTCATAGGCCACCACCTGCTTTGCCCATCCCCCTACTCATTATCGTGATGAGTGAGAAGAGGAGTTCAGGGAGAGGGTGCTGGCAAGGATTTGATTGGATGGTTGTTCTGGCCCACACAAGTAAAATGAAACGACTGCTACTGTAAACTTCACAATAGATGAGTGCTACTTCCTGAGAAATCAGAAGAGGGTAGACCTATAAAAAACTCTAGCTGTTCTGAGAATATGCGACTTGGTGAAGTTTATAACAGCAGCTACAACAAAAAATAAATAAATCTGTCTCGGATTTTAGAGACAAGCAATTCAATATGACATGTTTATCAGCCACAAATGTATTACCCTCCTTCAGTGCTGAAGCAGTCTAGATTTGGGCTAACGTAGCATGCTAATACTGTTACACACAGTTCATACCCCTATCTCTCATCCTGCGGCAACCTGAGCACACTCCAACCACAGCACAATCACACACTAGAGAAATCAAGGGACAACAACCGATGCAGCCATTTTCTTCTGCAATCCTCTCTTTGATGGCTCAGTCTGAGACTCCCACCCACCTCACGTCTTCCATCCGTCAGTGTAAGACATGAAACCGTGAATTTGAAGGTCTTGATTGGAACTGTGCACTTGGGCCCTGATGTGGCGGACTGAGATGGATGAGCAGAGATAGTGAAGTGTGTGTATGATGCATGATTGTATGTGAGCGAGGGGACAGGGGGGCAGGCCTAGAAATAGCCTCTTTCAATCCCTCTCTGTGGACATGACCCCTCTCCCAGCTGTACTCAAGCTGCTCCAACACACGCCAAGTTTCCTCTTTCCTCCTCCCCACTCACTATTTCTCTCTGATTTTGGTTCCTGGTAGTTGGGAGAGTTCAGGCCAGATAAGATTACATCACACTTCTCTTAAAAAGTTGTTTACATGCCTTCCTCCTAATTCATGGGTGCTGACTTTTTTATCTTCATTATTTAAAGTGAACCCATCTGAAACAGGTTTTGGCTGAATGACTTGATCCTCTATAAATGCAGCATGCTATGCATTCACCCACTCGCACTGTACATTCAGCTCATACACACACCCACTCACACCTACTTACACACATCCTCATATTTATGCAGCTGAGAGGGAGAGAGCAGTGGGAGTCCACGATTTGAACATAAACTTAGAAACAAAACTTCAAACCCTTTGCTTTGTGCAGCTGGCCTCCGGCCAAGTGCGTGTATTGGGTTACTTTGTAGAGCACGAACAGATGAGGGTGTTATGATGTCACAGCAACACAGGGAGTATGTTTTCCATTATTGGATCATTAAAATATCAGTCCCAATATGTGACCTCATGCTTTAAAACACCATTATTCCTCAGAGTAAGCTGAGGTAGTTCCTTTTTCAAAAAAAAAGAGCACACAATGAAACTGCAGCACAGGAACTCTTTGTTGTTTTCCAACATGTTCTATATGTAGTGTAAAGTCACTCTTTCAAGCTCCATATAGGACAGCATCAACTCTGGCTAGGGTGACGTCATGGGCGGGGATTTCAAACAAATGGAAACTGCAGCCTTTTGTTTCTCCAGTGAACAACAGCTCTTCCTGGTGACAGTGTACTGCAGTATTCCAACATGTCTCTGCTATATGACACAACCATTTTGTCAGAACACTGAACGCACATTAAAACAACTGATGACATTTTTTTGATTGGGAAATGTGAGTTAATTAAATGGGCACTCAATCAATGTGATTCCTAAAGTTTGTCATGAGGAGTACTTGTGAACCAGTGAAAGCAGTTGAGTAATCTCTTCAGTGGCTCCAGAGGGAGCTTTCAAATGTCTGGCAAAATAACCATGATGACATCACTTTTATACATCGGCTGGGCTTGGTCACTCAAAATTATTAACAGAAAGCCTGTGTTACAAAACTGGAGGTGTGGCGTTAACAGGGTGTGGGCATTTAGTAGGAAGTGTCTGAAAGATGCTATCCAGTGTTTTTGACTCCACTGAGAGGACTAAAATACCTTGGCCCTTGCTACTTCAAAACTTCTATCCATCCATCCATCATCTACATCGCTTATTCTGTGAGGGTTCCAGGGGGAGCTGGAGCCAGTGCTTCAAAAGTTGTCATTCAATTTAAGTCTGTCTCTCAACACTCCCATTATTATGAAAGTGCAAAACTATATTTCCAGTATAGCTCTTTAAATAATCAAGAACTCCCCATACTAACTCTATGCTAGCCACCTTTAAAGACCTCAACTCAGGAAACACTAGCCTACATTAATCTTTTTTGATTCTTCTATCAATGAATTCCTAAATTCTTCTTCAGTAATCTTAGAGAGTAAATATAATTGTTTTAAATAAATGGGCCATGCTTTTGAATTTGAAACATATTTTTCAGAGCTCACAGAAAAGGCAGAAAGGTCCTGAGTTCCCACTGCCCGCTATTGTCCAATTATATTCATTGTAATGTTTCCGTCACTTTCATCACAAAATGACTTCATCACCACTCTGCATCAATAGCTGCGACTTTTGAACATTACAGTCAATGCCACATTTCAGACGTTTTTTCAATTTGTCCCTGGGGGCGCCACCCTCCACAGCGTGTGTACATTTTCTTCGTTTTGTGCAGCTCCTCCATTTATGTTGCATGTTGCATTATGGTGTCCTTCATAACCACACTCAACAAGCTCGCTCATTTACTCTGCAAATTGTGTATTTCTGACATTGACTGTGCTTGTCCTTTTGGTGTTCATATTTGTTAAAGTATGGTGATAGTCTGCACTTTTTAAATTGTCAACGAATGAAAAGAACAAAACCAACAATGAATTAACTCAACTCAAAAATACTGTATTCAGAGCCAGATATTGCTTCCAATTGTGCCATATAGCTCCATTGTTGTCCACAAGACTATTAAAAACAGTGTGCCACTAACAGTGAGCCACACTGTTTCACTGGGTGACATGTTCCCTCATTTCCAAAGACATGGGCACTGTAAATTATTTTTGAGTCATTCCCTCATCGGGACCACCAGCACCACCCTGCTGCTCTAAACTCTGTTCCAAAAGTGTATTAATCCATTGCTAAAATTAGTCCCCAACAATCTGTATTTACTGCTGTTTGAGTCATGTATGCTAAAAAACAACAGTAGTCACCTGTTTTATTGTAAAAGTGAAACTGCTTCATGTATTTGTGACCTGTGTTTGGAGATGTACTGTATGTCTTTAGTAGATATCGGTGGAAATGGGGCTCAGGGCCGACAAGGTAGAGACGAGACAGACGCGGTACTGAGGTGTCAAGTTGTTGACTAATGCTTTGTTGGTTTTTGTCTTTTCATGAGATTTTTTGACCTTAAGGAAGAATACAGACCATCACCAGCCTTAACCTTTAAAACCCATGAAATGACCAAAGATTACAAACAGCTGCAGCTCTGATCTATCCGAGCCTGAAACTCCGCACTTTGTGTCTGTACTCCGTCTAGTAGTAAAATCCCTGATGTATTTTAATGTAACACAGACATCAGATCCTCCATTACAACATCCCAAATCCTCTTGATGCTATCTAGTACTCTAAAGAGTCCCACAGTATTATGTTTCTTCCTCTATTTACTATTTACTGTTCATTTGTATGTCTTAACGCTTATTAGAATCAGATATATGAAACAAATCAGTCATTAGTTTAATGGCTTAATTCTCTGTTCTAAAAATCTAAATCTGATAAGCAAATTGCTGGCTTTTTTTTATAAATTCAGCACATAGTGTTGTGAACTCCTGGTCAGAATGTGATGTGATGTAAAAGTTTTCCAATTGACTCTGATTTACTGGATAAAAATGGCATGTTACAAAAAGTCCAAAGATTTAAAATCTGTGTTTACATTTTGGTAAGCATGCCACATGGCATCACTGTGACACCATGAATATATTCAGCAGTGGGATTTCCAACAAAAACATTCCAGCTCGATTAGTAGTGTGAACAATTACTTAAAAGAATCTGCTGATGTGTTGACAGTGATACATATGTGTTTGAATAATGAGACTAAGCCAGAGCCAGATTCAAATCGCATGGAAGCTCAAGCAACTGGAGTTGTGTTGAAACTCTCTTACTTCAGGATCAAGATAGAACACCTGGGAATCATTGGTCTTTTGGGGGAAAGCTGAAGGCTGAGATGTGTGCTCTCTGGGGCAGTGACACATTTGTCTCCCCTACCTGCCAACAAGCCGACGTGCAACTCAAAGCCCAGAGCTTTTATTGTGCAATTCATCATCCTCAAAGAAAGACAGAAGGCAAAAGCTGATGCAAGCAATTCAGGAAGTGAAAAGGGTAGAGAACAAAACTTGTAAATTCAGATAGTTTGTCCTCTTCATGGTTTCACGTCACTGACAAAGGTTGTAGTCACACATCATGGTACATGGTACATGCATGAACCCTTCCTCTGACCTGGGAGCTGTGCTGTCACTGTGTGAAGACCAGTCGAGGTTTATGCCTTCTAAGGACATGTTGTGTCACTCAGTATGGCCACGTTTGTTGCATCTGGGTAGAGCAAGTCAATTTCCAATAAGTCAGACATCACTGTCATATTGGTTCTAACTTCCTCATACTTTATTTTCATTATTACAGTCTGTTGTTTGTATCCATGGCTGCATACACAAGCGCACACTTAACATTGACATAAATCACTGAAAATGAGAGTGAAAGGAAACAACAACCACTGTTTTTCTTGTCTTTTTTTAAATATTCACTGTAACTAGTTCATTGACATATCCATGCATGTGATTAAAATACTTAATTGCATTATCACTTTGGAAATAATGTCATAATAATGTTATGTGCTTGCATACAAATCACAGGTAATCACTCAAGTTAAAGAATAGGAGGCAGGTGAAGCTCAGTAGCTCAAAAAGGAGCCAACTGTGCTTCTCCCTGAAGCTCTACTTCATTTATAGCCAGTTTGTATATTTTCCAGGAATAAAATTGGATTTATTTTGGTAACACAAATTGACAGTCAGACATTCGGTAACATGTGCAGGACTACTGTCTCAAGCAGTGTTATTTAAAGTCATAGTGCAACATGGAACACTGTATTGCTATTATAGACAATTCAAGGTAACTAAGAAAATAAGGTCAGTTTCAGGTCAGATGCCTGTTCCCCCTATTTTTCCCAATAACAGTTTTCCACTGCTTCTCCTGATTGGCTTAAACTGACCTATTGATTGTTTAAATCCATTATAAGACATGCCAATGGCATGAAGACAGTCCAGTCTGACTTTGACTGATTTCTTTGAATTAATTCATTAATTTCCTGAGTAATGTCCTGATAAATGCCCAGAGATCAGATGAGATTCTACCGAATTTCAGTGATGCAGTACAGCAGCGCTGCTCAGACACTCGTTCACCTCATTAGCTTGCCTTTGCCATTTGCAAACATACCCGATTAATGGTGAAGATGTGACGCTTTACTCTCACTAAATTTTCCAGATTTATGTCACTGTTATGTCATTTGAGAAAAAATCAGCCAAAGAACGGTCAAATGTTAAAGAGAGCGAGGCAGGAAGGTTGATACAAAAGGGTGAGTGTTTTAAAAATCTTGTGAGGAAGTATAAAAGGCTCGCTGTTGCATCACCTGTTTCCACGACTCAGCCCCTTTACCATGGTAACGGAATGCCAGTTGGATTGTCAATGTGGGTGTAGAGAGAAGCCTAGAGGAGGAACAAGTGTGTGTGTTTGGTGTTAGAGCTGCTGGGCAAGGCCAGGCTAAGCATTACAGCACTGAAAGAGTTACATCATTGAAGAGGAATGAACTGCCCCTCCTTCCCAGCCCCCCCAACCCCATGGCTCCCTAACCAAGCATGGTTCTTCTTTTCGGACGTTTCTCTGTTGATTGTGTAAATGGAAGAAGCAAGGAAACGCTTAGTAATTGGGGCCTCATTGTGAAATGTCAAGGAGCATTTTTCATTGCCAAGACATCTTAATATAAATAGACTCTGGTCCAGCCCGAGCAAGTCCTTCAAATCTGCTTGTCAAGTACGCACTCAGAGCATTATAGTAACTGATGCAACCGACTTATGTTTGCCCTCTTCCTCCTCTGTCATCACAGGAACAACAGAACGTGTCTGTCTGATACAGGGTACAGTCGAAGCTCTCAATGGTGTTCACAACTTCATTGCGGAGAAAGTCCGTGAGATGCCCCAGAGCGCCCAGAAACCTGAACCTGTCAGCATACTGCAGCCACAGACCACTGTGAATCCCGACCGCGTCAAACAGGTGAGATACTGTACAGCCAGTGGGTCTGAGGGTGTGTGGTCACTCTGTGGTAGGTACAGGTCACTTCCAGGAGACCTTGTTTATTTGTCTTATTTGTTCTCTGGGCCATGACCCACAGTGTGGTAGGGTCAGGAAAATGTGAGGGTATGTGGTTATTTTTACCTACGGTCTTTCATAGCTAGACAGAGCTGTGTGGCAGCTGCAGCCTAAACCCCTGGGATTAACAAACCGCTGAGTAAAGCGGGGGCTGGTATACTACTCTGACTCAGTGTAAGATATCCCTCTCTCTGTCGGCCATTTATGCCATTAAATCTGTCTCTTATTACATTTTATTGCTACTTCAATCTTTCTATTTCTCCACAGGCCAAATTGATTGTGCCCAATAGCACAGCTGGGCTGATCATTGGCAAGGGTGGAGCCACAGTGAAAGCAGTGATGGAGCAGTCAGGGGCTTGGGTGCAACTCTCCCAGAAGCCAGAGGGCATCAACCTCCAGGAGCGAGTGGTAACCATCAGTGGGGAGCCTGAACAGAACCGAAAGGCTGTGGAGATCATAGTGCAGAAGATCCAGGAGGACCCTCAGAGCAGCAGCTGTCTCAACATCAGCTATTCTAACGTCTCGGGTCCAGTGGCCAACTCCAACCCCACTGGCTCCCCCTACGCCAACACGGCTGAGGTCCTGCCCAACGCGGCCGCAGCAGCTGCCACTGCCTCCAGTCTTCTGGGTCAGGCCGGCTTGACGGGAATGGGTGCCTTCCCCGCCGCCATGTCTAGCTTCTCTGGCAATGACCTGTTGGCCATCACCTCAGCCCTCAATACATTGGCCAGCTATGGCTACAACACTAACACCCTTGGCCTAGGCCTCAACCCTGCAGCTGCCTCTGGGGTTCTTGCTGCAGTAGCAGCTAGTGCTAACCCAGCTGCTGCTGCTGCAGCTAACCTGCTGGCCTCCTATGCTAGCGATGCCTCCAGCAGTGGCCACCCTGCTGCAGGCCTTGGTGGGTTCTCCCTGGGTTCTCTAGCAGCTGCTACAGGGGCTTCCAATGGTTACCTAAATGCCTCTTCCCCGCTGATGGCCTCCTCTCTACTGGCAACAGAGAAGCTGGGAGATGGGGCCAAGGACGTGGTTGAGATTGCTGTTCCTGAGAATCTGGTTGGTGCAATTTTGGGGAAAGGAGGGAAAACGCTGGTCGAGTACCAGGAGCTAACAGGAGCCCGAATCCAGATCTCCAAAAAGGGAGAGTTCATTCCTGGTACTCGGAACCGTAAAGTTACCATAACAGGGTCGCCAGCCGCTACACAAGCAGCGCAGTATCTGATCAGCCAGAGGATCACGTACGAGCAGGGTGTGCGTGCTACCAACCCACAAAAGGTGGGCTAAAAGGAAAAAGAAGAGGAAAGAAGGAAAGGATGAAGACAGAGATAGAAGGGAATTGAGAGGGCCACGATGAATAGAAAAAAGAAATGTCCAAATATCTGTTCAATATTTCAGTATCAAATGAGAGAATCACAAAGGAGGAGGTGGGGGAGACAACCAAGATAAGTGTGTGTGATATGTGAATGTGTTTTAAGGACTGACGTCCTGATGTTTTTTAAAAGTTCGTGTCGAGTCCTTTTGATGATGGTGATCAGAGTAAGCTGAACTGGTCCACTGCCAAGCTGCAGATTCAAGGGTGAGGCCGCAGGGTTTCACCCTCCTCAAAAACCTCATAGCTGTTTTATTTTCCATTTTTTGTTTGGTTTTGTTGGTTTTAATTTCAGTTGCAAACCTCAGCTCCCGGCGAGTTGAGCGGGTCAGATGAAGTTCCAGCTAATAGAGCTGTTCTACAAACCTTGCTCTTTGTATACAGTGCAGAAGGCATTGTTAACAGGGGACAGGTTTTATGACAAGCACCTGTCATCTCAATCTATGGGGAAGCAATCTGAGTATATTCATGTCTACTTTCACATATGTTGAATTCTGGCTCATATCATGATTGACGTTTCTAAATTTGGGTATTTTATATTTTCATCCTTTATTTATTGACATGGTCTCATTCAAACACAAATAGATTATTTAAACCTGTGAATGCAGGTTGATCTGAATGTAAAAACAATTTTAGCCTGATGCTATTTTTTATTTACAGGGATCAAACATTGTGTTGCAGTGAAAGAAATGTATAACTCAAACCCAGGCTGAACTTCACTGTTGCTGTCTGCAAGAATAGTTCAGGGGTTAAATAATCAATGTGAGAGGATAGAGGAGACACACAGGAATGTATAAATATATTTTACATGAACTTACATAGATAATGCTCCCACAAATGCACAAACACTGAAACATATTTGCATATTCAGCCACAGCTACAAACACAGAAATGTGTTTGTTGTTTAACCCTTTCTTGGTGCTATAGGATTAGGTTTTTATCTCCTTAAACATGAACTCAAAATCTCTCTGGCGACCAATCTCTTTACTTGATTAGACAAATACGCTGATGTATCATCCAGCCATTAGTAGCCCATTGGATCTGACCCAGCCTCTCACCCAGTGAAAAAGAACTGATTTCAGCGTTTCATGATGGAAAGCAATCCAGTCTCCATCTACACTCCCAAGGCAGGTCTTCTTTTTTCCAAAAATTGGCCATTCTCTAGATTTTACCTGACAGTGTTTTGCCTCAGTCGCACATTTGTAACCCAAGAGGAATAACTTAAAGCTCAGTCTACCTTGATGCAGTGTCTAACCAGTTTAGTTCACAAAGGGAACAAAGCACTACAAAAGCATTTTGTTAAGAAAAGCTGTATGAACCAATATCTGTGAACAAAGAAGCGATTGCCTTTACATTAAGGGTACCAAATAGTCAAAAGACATGAACTAATGAAAGGGAAGTAGACTGACACTTGAAAAGAAGGTTTGGGCTCATTTTTTCTTTGAGCCATCCTTCCCAATTTGCATCAAGACATAAAAAAACTACAACTGTAGTTCATGCCTGTTATCGTCCCCGAAACATGTTATCGCTCACTAACTTCATGTGGCGCACATATTAAAACATAGCAAAATGTTGTGGCATCATTGTCTGTTATTGGCAATTGTTTGTCTAATGCAGGGAGGCAAATTATCTAGAGCATTTACAAGCACGCAAAGATTACCTTGGCTTCCCTCTGTGCTGCTATCCATGGTGTTCATCCTGAGTACACTGGGTCTCTGAAGACTGCACTGTGAGACATTACGAACACAATGTAAAGCGTGTCTGTCCCTGCATGGGATGTGAGTATATTTTAATGTGCACATCTGTGTCACATACACAAGACGTACCTATACTGACAAAAGGGATATCACCACAAGAGCATTCTCACTCCGACGTCTTGTGATGTTTTTGTTTACTAGTACTAACGCACTGCATTTAAATTCTGATCAGAGAACCACAAATTAGCCCCCAACCACATTTTCATGCACTGTTATTCTCCAGCCCTATTGCGTCCACTTCCGACACTGTATCGAGACATCTTTCAATTCTCCCCATCAACCCAAGCTCTATGATCAGCTTCCTGAGTACACGGCTGTGAGGGTTGGTGCTGAGTAGAGTCCAAGAAAATCAGAACCACTCCCATTTTTTGGAAAATCTTATGAATAGCCTTGTCTCTTTTCATTTTCACAATTCATGTTTGAATTTAAATGGATTTGCAAGTGTTTGAAACCACTCTTTGTGTCTGAACATTGTGCGTGGCAATTGCAAAAGTAAGCCTTTCTTCCTAACTGAAATCTTTCCTTTCACTTCATGTCTAAAAGGCTTCACAGTCATCCATAACTACAATGTGGCCACTAGAGAAATCTTAGCGTAAGATAACCTTTTACTGCCCAAGATTTTAAGCATATAATAGGATACAAGCACAAAACAAGGGGGTGTTTTATCAATGCAACTGGACTGCTTGCCTGATCAATACTGATCAATACGTTGTGCCAAATACTATTTCTCTCTGCCCCTCATTAGCTTTCCTCTTTCTCTCAACATTTTATTCCCCTGCATGTTGCCGTTTCTCGCCGTTCTGAAAATTCCTCCTGTGTCCTAATCCCTGTCTGTGCTTCTTCCTACGCCGTGCTCTCCCCCTCTTTCTCCTTCCTCCTGTCTTGTCTTCTCATGGGCGGTGTGTCGGGTGTGCTGCTGGTGGGAGTTATGCACTATAGGTCATAAGGGTATGAAAATATTTTCCCAGGCCGCAGGAGTTCACAAGGCTAAAATGCACAGAAAACACCTGCCTCCAAAACTGTGACACCCACCAAACCAACCAGCAACATTAGTATCAAATTCCCTCTATAAGAAGAACAAGTAGGATTTAGGAAGGTTTAGACTGTGAATTATGGCCTTTTAAGGAAAGAGAAAGTGTTGTTTTTTTTCCAGAAGAAGGTAAATCTTGGTTGAATAAATATTCATATGTTGGCTGAACAAACTGAGCTCAAGCCTCAGCCTCTAAACAAAGCATAGAACGGACAGAATGCATTAGATAGCGAGTGTAAGGTGGGAACTCGTTTGTGACCTCAAGCCGAAACAATGACATCCTTTATGCATATCCTCTTATCTGAAAATGACTAGAATCCATTTCTGTGGAATACAATATGTCATGTCATATGATCTATATGTACTTTATTGTAGCTATTCTAGTTTGTAGTCCAAATGCAGTCCAGCGTTGTCGATACAATGTGAACTATGTTATATTTGTGTGGATGATGAGAGTGCCAACTAAGCCTGATTAAGATTAGCTTCGCGATTTGTTTGTGCATTATGATGACTCATCATCAGCCGGTGGTGTCCATATTTCTGTCATTGATGATTTAGTTTGACAGTAAGAAAATGTAAAGAATATTGGAAGCAATATAGTAGCATGTTGTCCTGTTTTGTGTTTTATGTCTGTTGTATGAACCTTTGAAATTACTAAGATTTTGAATGAATAGGTTTACATGTACTTTTTGTAAGTTATGAAAATGCTGCTATTTGATAAGTAAACTATACAAAAATATTTTAGTTGAAAAAAATGTCTGGTCTGTTTAGAAACATGCTCCACAAGGCTGGAGCATAAAACGAGGTGTATAGAATACTATACAGTATTGGTAAGATAGTAAAAGTAATAATAGACTCCATAGTACAACCTGTGCCAAACTAGACCTCTGCAGCTTCTGAAATTGTAGATGTGCGATCAAATGTTAGATATCAATAACTTGTTTAGAAGTGCTGATCAAGTGCCAATCAAACACTGTCTTTTAAGTTAAGAAAAGATAATCAAATACATTACTTAAGAAAACAAAGGACAAAGAACTTTTTGTGCATTGTTTTATCCCATAGGTACATAGACTAAGAGTTAAAGATTGTGATTTTTATGGATCCATGTTGTTTTACACTCCATGCATCCCTTGTGTGTTTGTTTGACCTGTGGCTTAAGTACTGCTGTTTTCTCACAAATGTCTCTATAGGCCAGCATGGACTAAGCATAACATGTTATAAGCATTCATAACATAACATTAACAATCAAAAATGTGTTTGTGGAGTTAGGTGTTATCTTTTTGCACGTCTTCTATTGCATGGTATCAAAGTAAATTATGGAGGAAAAAAATTACAAAAATTTGCGAGGTGTTCTCGCAACATTCAGACATAACACTGCATGCAGTCAAATGTAAAGCACTTAAGTTTTTCTCGCCTCATGTTTTGAGTTGGGAGGGAGCTCATTATTGTCATGTTGGCCCGAAAAAAAAAAAGACACAGAAACACACACACACACACACACAGACACACAAACATCTCAGATCAAATTCTCATCAGTTCATCGAGTTCATCTCTCTACATCATCTGAGAAGATATTTTCAATTTTAGGTACAGTGAGGAGTATTGAAAATGTGAAACAAGCAAACGTGAAAATTTTATTCAGTGCATTGGCTCCTTGTGTTTGTTTTTTTTAAGATACCAGACATGCGTTTGTTTTACTAACAGGTTGAACCTCATATAACCTGTCCCATGATATTTGTAGATTTTTTTAAGTCACAGCTTGAAAGCCCAGATCTAATCTATGAATGTACCCATTTACTCTTTTTTTTTTTTTTTCTTCTGTCTAATGTTATTGGTCTTCAATGTAAATTCAGGGCAGGAATGTCAAATACATGTAGAGTTAATATCTATGTCAAATACAGATTTCAGCTATAGTCAGGTAGGCCTCACACGGCCATAGTCATGAACCAGATATGTTTTAACACAACTTCCGATTCCCTGTCAACATTATCTTGTTTGTTTGGTGTTGCATAAATGCACTTTACTGATCAGTGGTCATATTGGCTGTGAAATGAAGCAAACCATGTTGTCTTTCAACAGTTGATCTTTTTTTCTTTTTTAATCCTGACATTATTTGCTATTAAACTAATGTTACTTTAATTTATTTATTCCCTAAACCCGTTGGGTCTCATGAATGATGAAAAGGGCTGGAGTCTCAGACAAAATAGAAAAGTTGCACCTGTTCCCCCACTTGAAGGCTTCTCCTTCACATTCCCTTCAGCAGAGGTTTGTGTCAATCACTGAGTGCTGTATTTTGAACCAACAAGGTGAAACCATGAGGGATGTGTATGCTTTTGTCCTTTTTACTTTGTCTTTTTACTTGCTTTTTTTTAAATTTAAAGTGGTTTTCATTTCCCCAGTAAAGTGTGATGGAAGCACTGGGGTGGATGTACTGAGGGATGCAGGCTGGACGTCTGGCAGATGGAAACTGTCAGATCTGAGAAACATAATTGGCACCAGCCAAATAAAGATTGCGTCTACCACCTCAACATAATGAAAACCACAGAGGAAACCTACTAGACTTGGAAAGGCCTAGCAACGTGAATGATAGTTCTGTCCCATTATTTTATGTTACAAACCCCTTTTGTTGCATTTACTGCTTCACACCTGAATGCCAAACGAACTACAACATCATTCCAAAAGTTGTCACGTTTGTTTTTATTTCTACTCCAAATGTATTCCGGACGTTCATCCACCACCACCACCTCGAACCCCCACGGAGCCCTTTCACAAGAAGGCTACGACTGGTTTTAACCGCTACAAACTGGCTATAAGGCTGCTTGCTCCTCTCTTAAAACCTCTTCTACCTGAGCGTCACACTCTCAGCCTCCACGATATCACAATTTGTGTTTCATTACAATGAGCACCCGCTACCGTGTCCACTGTTGAAATGGATTAAGGTATTTCTGAGCCCTTGCGTCTGAGAAAATACAGGATTCTTGCCAACCAGACATGAGGCCGTTTTTGTCTTTGACCCTCTGAACCTCCCATGAACATATAGTTGACCTTCTCCATCCCAGAGAACTCATGTATGTGTTGGATTTTACTCCACTTTTACTGTCAAAGTCTGTGAGGCTGTTCTTTCGTTATCTGGACAATTGTGCAGGGCTGAACGCTTGCTCAAGTGTAAACTGAAGAAAGCATGCCAGTACCTTGCAAACATTTTCATGTCATTGTCGATTTTCTTTAGGATCGATTTTACTTCGTTTTAACCTCTGTTCTTTCCATCTCAGAAAAAAATGGACTGACAGCATAAGATCATATATTCCGACCTAAGCAAAGTGATGTTTTGTTGATTGGGTACATCTCTCTTGGATATTAATGACAGTGGTTCGTTTGTTACTAGGGGAATCTGTGAAAGTCCACAGTGTTAACTACTAAAAAGGGCTTTCTAGGACAGCATTTATATGTCTTTTAAAATGAAAACATCCTCTGAATATGTTCAGAAATGAGATGAAAATGCCTTCTTGTGCCATTTTAGAAAAAGTGAAAGCTTTTTAATGGCAAATATTTGTCAGCAAGAGTGCCAAATAATTCCATACTGAGCCAAAAGGCTACCAGCCTACATAAATAAATGTTAGATCACAGGAATGGTTACGTCCTGTCTTCACTCCCCTTGAAAAACATCACCCTAATTGTACGACGTTTGAGCTCATGTACTATTATTGTTATGCTGCCAGTCTGTTTTCTGCTTTTGTCAGAGAAACATCTCAGAAGCAGTATATTTTCTAAATGATACACTGTTGATAAAAAGACAGCAGCTACTATGGCGAGAGGGAATGAGAGGATTTTAAAAGTGTCATTGTTTTTATTATTCGTTTATTTGAACATTATTCATTAATAGATTTAACGGTAATGACTATTTAATGTAACTGTAGTACTGTGTTTGTAAAAGAAATTCAGTGAGTTGTGTTTTATGACTCGTGGACTACCAGTGAAGTCAGCATTTCAGTGTTAATAATTGAATTGTTTTTTAAAGATTATTTTTGCGACGGCAACAAAGAGTCATTATAAATGTTCATTTTAACATCACTTGCCTTCTGTTCCTTTTATTCTCCACCTCATCCCTCTATGCTCCAGAGTTTATATGATTACAACCAACATTTTTATGACCAGATTGATTTCTGGAGTGTTTAATCTTAGCACATATTAAATGGGAATCACTACTCTGTTTACATGCACATAATCCCCATATAATGAGGAATACAATTTAGGTCTAGTTTTGAAGTGGTGAAAAGGAGCATCAAATACACACCTGCCTTTATCCGGTGCTTGGACTTGTGTGCTGATAGCAGGGTGATACTACATAGCTCATTATGTTGTTCGGCTTAAAAAGCTTGTTTAGTCGCACCAGAGCAGCTGTGACATTGGCCACAGCCCATCTGCAAACATGAACAATTTGTTTCATTTCATAAAGCATGTGAGGGATAGCTACAAATGTTTGTCTCATCTGTGATCACAGTTTGAACATAGACAAAGTAAACTGAAAAATTATAGGGTTTTACAGGCTGAGGCCGCTCCACTATTTTAGGCTTACATGCCGAGCACACGGGCGCAGATGTTTCCAGTTTGCTCCAGTTAGCTGAATAAAGGGTTGCAGCAACACAAGGAGTTACCTGAGCAAACTCATAACTATGATTAAGGTGTTGTTTCACCACAGCAAACACAACGCCTAAAGACACACACACACACTCACACACACTCACACACACACAGAGAGGAGTTCAGTGAAGTCAGCTAAGTGCACACATGTAAGTGTGTGTGGTCCACTGATTACATACATCTTACTATGTTGTTGGGACCTAATCATAGTCACATTATGGGGACTTGTCTTCCTTATGGGGACTAAAGCAAGACCTCATAACAAATGATATAAATACATATAAAGCAGAAGAAATGTTTTAAGGTTAGAGTAAGTTAAGGTTTAGTTTAAAGGTCCAGTGTGTAAGATTAAGGTAAAATGAACTATTGGCAAAAATTTAATGTAGAATAATCCTCATGATGTTTTCAATAGTTCATTTCATCTAAATTGTATGAATTGTAGTTTTCTTTACTCCAGAAAAGGCCCTTTATATTTAAATACTTTATATTTACATTGAGGGGACCCTCTCTACAGAGGCCGCCATGTTTTTTTACATTAGTCCAGACTGGACAAACTACTATTGTGTTTTTATGACAACTGAAGTCTGAGACAGGTTTTTTTTCAAGTGTGGAAGGAGAGGGTGAGGTGAGGAGTGTTCAGGTGCAACATGCAATTTCAACACTAGATATCACAAAATTCTACACACTGTACCTTTAAGGTTAGGGTAAGGGTTAGGGTATAGCAAATGGTAACTATGGTAATGGTCTCCAGGAAATCAATGTAAGTCAATGTAATAGTCTTGGAATCGTGTATGTGTGATATGCTCACAGTTACATTTTAGTTTAGAGTGTGTACATACTAACATTTGTGAATTTGCTAATTAGCGATATATATGAAGACTACCTGCACCTTTAGCCATAGTGTAGCTTCATCTTAAAGTCAACATCAGCTTGGTATCACAATGTCCAATGTTTCACTACCTTCACCATGTTGTTTAAGGGTGCTAGAATGCTCAAATACACTAAACGCAGTTCAGGCTGATGTGAATATCATTAGTTACACATGTGTTTGGTGATGAACCAAAGTTCTGGACAAAATGACATTTCTCCTGATGGTGACACCAGATGTAAAATGAGGGGGATGTCACACACCTGTGCCAAACTTCATGCTCATCCATCCAATAGTTGTAAAACCTTACTGATGAGAACACAGGGGCTCGCCATGCCATTGTCTGGGAAACATGAATGTTAAATGCCAATCCGTTCAAAAGATGTTTCAATGGATGCTGGTAAACCTTGACCTGATGGTGGCACAAGCTGAAAAGCAAAGAAAGATTAGACAGACTCACTCTCTCTGGATCATGAATATTTCCACTAAATTTAATGGAAATCCATTTAGTGATTGCTCACATTTTTTAGTAATAGACAAATCTGTGGATCAGCTAACAGGCTGACATTGCAATCTACAGAGTCAAGCCTGCAGCGTGGCTAAAAAAGGTAATTATTGTTTTCCCTAGCATTTTCCTCTGAGTGAGCATTTAGACCATTGATGCAAATTCAACTCTATGATGTCCTGCAGGGTAGCAAAAACCTTTCACTGTTTAAAGTGCCTTATGGCAGAGTGATGCAATATACCATTCAAAGCACAACAACAAGGGGAATGGAGTAAATTTCATTTGAAGTTAATTATGTGGTTGGATAGGAAATACATCGGAAGTGGATAAAATGACAGAATGTCGATATACATTCATTTTAAACCAGCGTGACACTCCTCGATCTGTGCACTGCTACATGTATCTCATG